ATCTCTCACTTTTATGAGTTAGATTTTACTTAAAGTTTTCATTTGTTTTCAGTATATAATCTATACAAATAGACCGATGAACTCTTTAATTTATGACTTATGGATCATATATAAAGATATATAATGGGAAAAAATAAAGAAAATACCACTTTTAAGGTCTCAATGATCAATTTACTTCCTTTTTTGTTTTAACAAGTATCATTTTAGGTTAAACTATTCGTTTTCAATCATTTATTGCTTTAAACTACGATTCCCGTTATACTCATGTAATTTTTTTTTTCTTAAAAAAAATCTATTAATTAATTTTAACTTAAAAAAAAAGTCATATTCCAACGCAAAAACTAACAGTAATATATTTTAATGTAAATTTCAACGGTATGACTTTTGTTGAAATGATTTCAACGAAAATATTCAATTAAAACTAGTTTTCCATTGGAATTTTAGTTAGAATATGATGATGTCATGAACCATTTTTCCATCGATATATTACTGTAAGAATTTCCGTTGAAAAATTAATTTGTTGTTGAAATCATCGAAATCTAACAGGAATTCCAATGAAAAACTCTTTTGTTGTTGAAATCGTCGAAATCTAACAGGAATTCCAATGAAAAACTCAATCCAACGAAAATAATTGAATTGAAATTGCCGTTAAAATTTTATTGAATGCATTTACGTTGGAATTTTTAGTTGGAATTTTACAATTTTCTTGTAGTGTTTAATTTATCTTAAAATCTTAGTTCTCTTAAAATTACTATAATAAAAGGGGGAAATGCTCACATCCCCACCGACTTATGTGGCATGCACACATTAGTGATGTATTTTTTTTTACATATTAACATCACAAATGTGTGCATGCTACATCAGCGGTGGGCATATTAACATGTGCCTACCGTAAGCATGTAAGCATTTCCCTAATAAAAGGTACTTTACCGTACAATTTAGAGAGATTTTAATAGAGAATATATTTTATGACAATTCCTATATTTACATTTATTTTAAAATTGAGATTATTAATTAAGAGCCTAATGCATAAAGTTATCGACTAAAGACTTACCTCATATACCTATAACATCGATGTTGCAACATTTAGTAATTTAAGTACACCTTAAGAAATACGAATAATCCCAAGAATTTTGATATCAAAATTTAGGACTATCTTTTTAATTTATAATTGAATACCAAACGAAAAAATTCCATGTCTTTATATGTTATCATTGCTTTTCGAAATTCGGCCGCACTAGCATTTGCTTTAGGACTAAATGGAACATCATGATGCGTCTTGTGGCATTTCTGTCCTTTCATGTTTATAAATTTTAAGCACAAAATTAATGATAATAAAAATAATGAATTAGTTTTGTCGACTTTATTTAATTTTAGTATCCCAGGCTGTAATTTATATATTTAGTTGAAATTTGAAAGAGAATAAAAGCAAATAAAAAGAAAATTATAGATCGTGATCATAGAGCTTCATTCTAGGGGGATGATATATGATATCCCAATGGAGTATATTATATACTAATTAATATTGGGAAATCAATTCAAAATATGTCTAGTGCTGAATATGAAAACTTGGGTGAGAATGAGATTTGTTATTGATACTATAAAAGTAAAATAAAAAAATAAAAAAAATAATAGAAATTGGGTTCAACCAATGATAATAAAAATAAATATATGTAAAGTAAACACGTCCTCACCTCTTAAAGTGAATTATTTAAACTGGAGATATAGCATCATGATCTGAATATATAATTTATATGATAATATAATAATAATAATAATATTACCTTCGATTTCGATATAGCTATAGGAGAATAAAATAAGAAATTATTGGAGTTGAAATTTAGGTGATGAGATCTATAATCTTTTTGTGTACAGTTTGATAAGTTGACTCAAAAATGTGGTCGGCGTGCTGTTTCACCGTTTTTATTGATCTTTCTTTCCGCTCTATTTATTTTATTTGTTAATTTAATTACTTTATTTATTCGATAACAAAAAAATCATTTTTAGTAACTTAAATTTATTTTTTTCACTGCAGCCTACACATTAAGGTGAAATCTATCCATGATCACATGTCTAATTTTATTTTTGGTTTTAGAATAAAATAATTACTTCAGCTGTTTAGTCCTATATATTTTGGGACCTTCTCCTTAATTAGTCAACGTGATTAACGTTTGTAATTGATACTTTTGGCAAAGAAAAATAATGTAAAAGGATCAATTAAATTATTTTGACTGATTGATATTAAGAAAGATTGATAGTTGGTCCACATTCTAAATCCAGTTGTTAAATAGACTGAAAATATTGATAAGTTAGTAGCAATTATTTGCACACGCATGTTTTTTGAATCATCTTTCCGAAGTTGCGTACGTTGACTTTATGAAATTTTGTAGCTAGGCAGTAAGAAAAGTTTATTTAAGTTTAATAAATATAATATCTATTGAAAAGTTTATTAATTAAGGTTAATAATTTCCTGTTATAATGATAAGTTATTAATTATTGCACATAAGTTAATAGCATTATTGCACGCATGGTTTATCAAGTCATCCTCTCGCAACTTGCCCGTTGATGACTAGTTATTGGTTGTCGACTTGGCTACAACGAACGTTAATTACCTAAATAAATAAAATAAATATTATTAATATTTATTTATTTATTATTTTGACACAATATATTTAACAACAGTGAGATAAATAAAATAATGATTCGGCAAATAACGCCCCAGTTTCTCCTTTTATGCTTGAAATATTTGTTTTCATCCATCTCATTTCTTTAGCATAAAATTTTCAACCTGTTGTGAACTACATACTAAAATATAAGAGTTTTTTTTAATACAACGCCTGAAAGATAAGTAAATTATTAAACTGGGGCCTAAAAGATTTTTTTTTTCAATTCAGGACCTAAATGTTTTAAAACTATCAAATTAAGTCATAGAATTAACAAAACTCATAACATCGTTAAATTGAGAGTTAATTTGAAGTTTCAAAAAACCAAATCTGTTACAAAGTAAAAAAAAATGAAAAATGAAGAAAATTAAGGAAAATACGAGATTGTTGGAGAAAATTAAAGAAAGTATGAAGTTCTTGCTCGGTTTTCTTGCTATCGTTTATTTCTATTTTTTTTTCTTTTTTTTAAAAAATATTATGCGAATGTTTACTTATTATTTTATGTGAGTAAGCACCAATCTTTTCTTTTTCTTTTTCTTTTTTAAACTCTCAATTTAATGGTGTTATGGGTTTCGTTAATTCTAGGACTTAATTTGATAGTTTTATAACATTTAAGTCCCGAATTGAGAAAAAAAA